TAACTGGCAAGCCACCTGGCTTTATATTAACAATAATCAAAAAATCTCAAACTTTTCTTATAGCTTTTAGTTCTCTACTCTTAAATTTTTTAGAATTAAAATTCTATCAAATAAACTTCTTACTCCACACATCCTACATAAATGCTATTCTTCATATTAACCTATTTGTTATCAATATTACCAAATTAGTTCACATCTTTACTAGACAACTTGTTCATCTAACCAACTATTATTTAGTTTTATTGATATTTTATTTCAACATACTCTTAACTCAAATATACTTGATACTACACTTAATACTATAACTAACTTATATTACCAAATTAAACTACTTTATAACATGTCTATTTATAATAGATCTGATGTATCATCAATTTTATCAACTCTAATAGGCTTAATATTAAACAAACTCATCAACACTATTGCAAATTTGTCTTCCAAAAAAATAGCTACTGCACTTTTTATAAAGTTTTTATTTTATCTTAATCAACAAATTTATTATAAAATTTGGATTCTTTATTTTATTTTAAGATCTACAATCCAACTTTCTAACTATAATTCATTATTAAATTCTGTCTCTTTTGTATTACACATTCTTTCTTTTAATTCAATTTGTTTAAAAATTAACTCCTAGTATATCTAATAGATAAAATATCAAACTAATTCTCTATATATTATTACTAATACCCAAATCTAAGTGAGCCTTGGTCACTTCAGTTAGTTTAGGTTGCAGATAAATTAGTCTAAGCTTCTATTATTTCTATAATATTTTAAAAGTAAATTTGTATTTCATATAAAATTTTAATTAAATATTCAATAAAAATAGAGACATGGCCTTATTACTAATATTTAAAAAAAATAATATATCTTTTGTCAATAGCTTTATTAGAATAGAAAAGAGTTTTTAAAATAACAAGTATAAAAGAGTTATTTTCAAATAAAATAAGCATATTAAAGTCATAATTAGATACAAAATGAGTTAATAAAAATAAATAGTTAAAGATTATATTATGATTGTTTGTTAATTTGAGAGATGTTTTAATTAATATTAGAGATATCAAAATATTGAGTAAGTTTTTTAACAAATTTGATAATATGACTTAATTTTTTAAAAAATAAATATAATAAGATGTTGTGAAATTTTTTATATTTTTTGTATATAAATAAAAAAAATTAATAATAATAATAATAATAAAATAAGTATATTTTATTAATAAATAAATAAGTTTTTTTTTTATAAGACCATTTAAGCAATTTATTTATTATAGTAAAAAGACATATTATAAAAGAAATAATATTGTATAAAAATTATAAATAATATTTTTGTAAAATTATTTAAGAATGATTTTATTCAATTTACATATATATATATATTTTATAGTATTAAGGTAACCTTTTTTATTAATAATTTTTAGCAATGTGATTTAATAAACTATTATAGAAGAACATATAATTGGCTACATATATAACTTTTCTATATTATCTATTTAAGGAGTTTGCCTAAAAGTTTTCTATCAATTGTTGTATTTAACACTTCTGCTTAGGTGTTTTATTTTAAATTCTTTAAACCTGTAATCTGCATTAATTTTACTAGGTCATACCCAGATGCCCAGATTATTATCTTAATCTTAGGACTATTTTATTCTTAAGATAAACTTCTTAGAGCCTTCTGTATTTATTTTTATAGCTGATTTAGATATTATTATAACCGAATTAATATTTGTAATTAGAATTATATTATTTAATCACTATGTTCTTGTAAAGTTCATATAGTCTTAGCATTTACTTTATAGCATAATCCTAGTAATTTAGTATATTTTTATCTTTTGTCCAGTCTTTTAATCAGATTTCCAATCTAGATAGCCTGTATAGAACTACAACTAGTTTATTGATATATTGGATTAGTCTAATATCTTTTTTCTTTAGTTTGTTTTAGTAGCCTAGTTGGTGATATATTTAAAACTTCCAACTTAGAAGGTTTTTATTATCTAAGTACTATGATCAAATACTACAACCTTGGTATTCATTTTCTTAGATTAGCATTTACAATAAGATTGTCAAAAATCTAACTACTTTTTTATTCAGATCTTTTCAAATAGACTTCTTGTTATCCAATTTCAATGAATTTATATGATTATAAGAACTTATCTAGAGTTTATATCACTTGATGTTGGTTAGTATTCTTTTGTATAACAGAGTACACAGATATTCTATGATCTGTTAGTCATATTGGTATAACTACTATTACAGATATTCTAATTCAATTATTAGTAACAGTTATTATAATATAAGTATTATATAGGTAATTATTTAAATTTTTATTGTCAATAGGATTTGAACACCTAATCTACTACTTGGAAGGTTGACAATCTAACTATTTCACTAAGTTATTATACTTTTAATTAATCTATATATTTATTTAAAAGTTATTAAAATATTATTTAATAAAGTTTATTTAATAAGATTTTTTAATTCTAAAGAATTAATTAGTTATATTTTTTATTAAAAACTTTTTTTTTAATATTAATGATAAGATTATAGTTTTACTTTTATTGAATATTAATTAAGATTTTATATAGAATATAATTTTACTTTTAAAATATTATAGAAAGAATAAAAACTTAGACTAATTTATTTGTGACTTAAACTAATTAGAGTGACCAAAACTTATCTAGATTTAAGTATTAGTAATTATATGTATAGGTAATTAGTTTGATATTTAATCTATTGAATATACTAAAAGTTTATTTTTAAACTAATAGAGTTAAATAAAAGAGGATATAATAAAAGTAAGACAGAATTTGATAATGAGTTATGTTTAGAAGTTTGAACTGTAGATCTTGAAATACAGTAGAGAATTCAGATTTTATAATAAATTTATTAATTAAAATGAAACAAAAATTTTATAATAAGTGTTATGACTACTTTTTTGGATAACAAGCTTGTGATAATGTCAATAAGTTCATTTGGTATTAGACCTGTTAGAGTTAAAACTTATTAAAAAACTTATGCTTATTATTAATAATAAAATATATAATTTAGTAAATATATTATTATTACAATTGTTTAATTTACTTAAGAAAAAAAAATAATTTTTTAAAAAAATTAAAAAATATTAATAAACTAAGATGTTATCTTTAATTTTTCTTTTATAATCAAGTTATATAATTTCATTTTTTTTTTAGTAGTAAAAATAACTACATAATTAACATATCTAACTACAGAGTTATATATTTTTTACTGTCCAAAACTTTTTTGACCATATTCAATGTTTATATCCAAGTGTTCAAAGCATGTTTAAACTCTAATAATAAATAAATTTGTCTAAAAAATATGATTATATATTTTTTTAGGTTTTGAATATTTTTCACTTAAAAAAGTATATAGATTATCTTAACAAATTGTTAGTAATTTTAATTTATAGTTTTGTTTAAAAATATCCAAAAATGGTCATATTTATGTCCAAAGCTGTTCATTGACAACACTGCCTAACTACATAAACTTGTTTGAACTCATCACAACCCGAGATCATAGAAAAAAAAGAGAATAAATAATGAAAGAAAATAAATTAGAGAAAATAAATTAGAACAATTAAATATGATCGAAAAAATATATATTTAAGGTATTTAACCTGGATATTGTTAGTTTAATGCATTTATTTATATTGCATATTTACTTGATGTTCATGATATAACAGAACAGAGTTATGATTATTACCTGAAAATAAGAACAATAACCCCGAATTATGTTCAAATGTATATTAGCACAACAGAATCACCTACTAAAAATGGTTTCATCAAACAATTCAACTTTAAAACTTGAAAATATATGTAATGTTAGAGGAGAACTTGAGTTTATTAGATCTAAGGTAATTTTTGGTTATTAACTGATTTTTGCCATTTTGTTTTCAATTTCAATTTATTAATTTTTTAAATCTTTTATATTATATTATATCTAAAACCCGCATTACCACATTTGAGAGACCTGTTGATAAAATGTTTTACACTTCTCTCAAAAGATAAAAAGTTTACCAATTGTCTGGAGAAATCATTTGAAGAAAATTATCTTCAACTATAGGATGTTCGAAGATACCTTGAAGTACGTATAGTTGGTGGTAGAATCACTGAAGTAGGCATTACACGTGGTAGAATTAATTTTGCTACAGCACCCAATTGCCGTAAATATTGTATGCCATGCTTCAATTATAATTGGCTAACGACTGTAATCTACAAAATTTATCTGTATTACATAATTTTTGGCCAGAATTGATTTTTTATCAAAAATAGAAATTTGAGGTTTTGGGATACTTTTTACTGATCTCACTAAAGTTTAGTATATTATTAATTAGTGTTTAAAAAAAAAAAAAAAAAAAAATATATATATATATATATATATAATACGAAGGTTATTGTCGGAAAATCATGTCTGTACCCTCGATTATTGGTTACGCTGATGCTTTTATTTAAGCCGACTCAGGGTAAAAGTCGATGTAAGTCGAGTTGTTAACATCCCTAATCATCGGTACTGTTCTTGGCAGGGTTCTAAACAAGAACCTCTAAAATTAGGGATGCTAAATTGCGAATCCAGTCCGGTCCGATCCTAGGATCTGAAAGGACGGTCCTGGACTCAGTCCTTAAATCACATGAAAAAATAATGAAAATACGATACATATTATAAGACTAGATCCTCCTGAATTAAACTACCGAATAAGTCTATCCAATCAAATTAATTTTGTATTGTTAATTCAATTGTTTTCGCGTAATTTGAAGACAGATTAACATCCTATCTAAACTATACTATTATGCGTATCAAAAGAATTGGGATTAGGGTTCGTTTTTAGAGCCTTGGCATAAATTTTGCTAATAATAGGCTTAAAGATTGTACCCATTAAGAAAATCCTTACGCTAATATATTTAAATTTGCTTATCGTTATGTTGATTACATTTGTACTGTAGAAATAGTTTTTTAATACATCATTAATTACCCTATACTGCGTTTTATCATGTTTCGTCCTTTGCACACTCGTAAACTAATTCCGGAAATGGATCTTCGGATACAACATCAAGTTCATGCAAATCTTCCAAATTATCATCATCCTTAACGTTCGTATCCATATTTTTCATATGCTTCATTTTTGTATTTTGAACAATATTTAGGGGAATACGCAATTTGAGAGCATGTAACATCATACGAAAAGTATCAGTATATTCCATGATTTGCGATTCATAATGCCAATCACCAACAATGGGGTGGCCTAAATATTGACAATGTAATCGCAGTTGATGTCTTCGACCTGTTATTGGGTATAGATTTATTAATGTTACTTTAATTTGTGATTCTGAAGGAACGGACAGAGATGAAGTAGGATAAAAGTATCCACGGCGGATAACTTCAAGTTGCGTTTTTGCAGGCTTTAAAATATATATGATTTGTGTGTTAGAAGTAATAATAAAAAAAAAATAGAGGTTTAATAATACATAAAATCTAAAGTACCTTTCCAGGATTTTCGGATGTTCCGATACACATTCGATATCGATTATTTGGAACTTGGGCAATTGATTGGTCTACTACATAACTTTTGTTTATTTGCTTGTTAATTTATTATACAATAAAATATCTCATTTTTATATAATACAATTTTAAATTGCTATAACTTCTTAAAACGAACTAAAAATAAAAATCCTTTTTATAGCTTTGTAGTTTTTATCTTAAAACAAATCTGAAAGAGGTATTTTTAAATTTTTTTTTTTAATTTTTTAAAAAGTTATAACAGTTTAAATATATAAACTTATGAAATTTGGTATTTATACATAAATTTTTGTTAATTTGATTGGTCAGTATTTTTTTTTAATAAAAATTTTTACTAAAAAAGTGGTTATCTTATATTGTCCTGTACTGTATATATACTTATTTTTTTAACTATTGAAGGACCTATCAGAGCTCTTTTAAAAATTTTAAAGTACTTACTTATCTTGTTTCATCCATCCTCTCACAATTGCGGAATATGTTTTCTCCACTTTACGTTTTGCAAATGCCACACTAGCGATTCCAGCTGCTTTTTTTGATAGTGCTAGGCAATAACATCCGGATGTTGCGTGATCTAGTTGGTGCACGTTACGTAATGGAGTTGGTAATGTTGGATTTTGAGCGTAAAGAAGAGAAGATACTGGGAAAACGAGGCTAAAATGATAAGTTTTTTTTTTTTTGTTTAATAGCGAGAACTATAATGATAGATACGAATTTTGAAATAGTACCGGTGGGTGCTTTTGAAGTGTCACCATCGATTCTGATGTCATAGCTTTACTTTCACAACATTTTTTAAAAAAAAACAAAAATAAATTGACCAAGCACGATTTTGATTGTAAAATAAATAAATGAGTGCGTAAGAGTGAAAACCTGGAAACCGATTTAATGATTTACTATGATCGGTTTCCAGGTTTTCACTCTCACGCACTCAAATATAAGAGGTACAATTAGTTTCGTATAACTTAATTTCTGCTCGAAGCCATAAAAAATATAAAATTGTGGTAATATCATACGGTTTATCAACAACTAAAAAATCTTTATTACGAAATAGAATTTTAATAATTGGATTAATAGTATTCTCAGTTGTCGAATTACTGGTAAATCTTTGAGTTTGGATACGGGAATTCATACAGTTAAATGTGGTCATGGTAAATGTGCAACGAGAAATCAAAGATGACTCGTATAAAATTGAATATCCGGTTACTCATTTGCTTATGGGATTGACACTAAGATCATTGCCGTATATTACCGCCAAATTTTGAAATAATCGGCTGCATTTAGTACTACTTTCCTAGATTAATTTAGGTCTTACAGTTTAGTATGTTTGTAGTGATTTGGCAGTTTTTTTTAAGGCTTTATGAACTGACGGTTATATTTACAGATTTATACGTAGCGGTTTGCAAAAAGGTGATTCAACGGTTTTCGTGATAATGTTAGTGGGAAATGTTAAAGATTCTAAATCATAGATCCAATCAGTATTATTTAGTTATTTTGGAATCTCTGAAATTTAATTTCCTGTGATTTTACATGACACGATGATCGGCAAAGGTCACATCTCAACAAGAATTTGGGAGTTTAAAAGAACGTGAAAAATTAGTAATGGCACATTTAAACAGGTTGTGTGGATGGCAGTTCAAAATGAGTATGAGAAAGAGGTTTCTGAAAGTGGACAACTTAAAATATGTAAGCTTAAATTTTTTTTTAGTTATGGTGCTGGTAGTTTATACTAAAAAACTTTTTTTGTAAAAAGTTAATATATTTCAAAACTTACTATTGTTTTATAAAGGGGTGTGACAAAAATATTTTCACATCTAAGAACTTGGCTTATAATTCAAAAATATATTAATTAATTTATGTTCTTAATTTGCTTATATGAATCTTTATTCTTTAATAATTATGTCATATTATTTTTAGATCACATGTTTGCATAAATATTAAGTTACTGAGGATGGTGATCCTAGTGTAATGGTTGGGTTGTTATTTTCCAAGTAGTAGGTTTAGAGTTCAAATTTTACTAGTAGTAGAATTTTGAAAAAATAGCAACTTGGATGGAGTATCTGAAGTTGTAACTTTGCAATTTTGGTTATATCAAAATTAACTTTGAGAATATGTAATAATATATAAATAAATTAGAAAAGTATATATTTTATAAGAAGTTTTGTTTGAAAATTCTAAGTAAAAAAGTAGTATAATCTTTAATGATATTTTTATAAAAAACTTGATCCAAAGAATGAAACCTAAGTCAAAAGAATTGTATGAACAAAAATTTTTAAATAAAAGAAATTCATCAACTTGGTTATTAGTCAATTTGATTATAAAGTTACATTATACAGAACTTATTAAGTAAGTAGTATAGAAAGATTTGTAAAAATAGACAAGATATTAGTAATATTGTAAAGAGAAATACTAAGATTGTATAAATTTTATAAGAATATAATAGTTTAATGATTAGTTTTAATTGCAAGTATTGTTCTAATCATAACAATATTAGATTAGTTGTAAATAAGAATACAAAAAAATTTAAATGATTTATTTTAAAGATAAATTAGTCTTAAAATTGAAATAAAGATCTGAAGATAACACAGGTCAAATAAATATATAAAGAATAAATAACAGTCTGCTTTTTATATCCTAATAACTATTTTTTGTTATCTATTTATAATCTGTTATACTACAGTTATTTGGCAGATATAGGACAGAATAAAAGATAAATATTAGTAATATATTAAAGTTAAATATAAGTTAAATAAAAATCTTCTTTTAATATTTTATTATTTATTTTTTATAATATAATTATCTGTTTTGCTGCTATTATTTGGCAGCATCAAATATAAATATTGATATTTCTAAATAAATATAGGTTAAATATAAGTTAAATATAGGTTAAATTTTAAATACTTTAACATCATGATAGCTATATTTATTTATCTATTTATATTCTGTTATACTATAGTTATTTGTCAGATATATAGTAGTATATAAGATGGATATCAGTACCATATAAGAACTAAATACAATAAAGATATTTATCTTTTATAAATTTGTTCTGCTGCCATTATTTGGGCATTAAATTTAAATATTAGCATTTCTAAATAAATATAGATTAAATATAAGATAAATTTAGGTCAAATTTAGATACTTTAAACATTCTGATAGTTATATTTATATGTCTACTTATAATTTGTTATATTACAGTTATTTGCCAGATATATGGTAACATATAAAATAGATGTCAGTATTATATAAAAATTATACAATAAATATTTTTGTTCAGATATTTATCTTTTATAAATCTGGTTTGTAGCTGTTATTTAGCAATATTGAACCTAAATATTAGCATAAGTATCAAAATAATTTTATGAATATAGGTTAAATAAAAGAATATTAATATTTATAAAAGTAAATTAAAGTAGAATTTAAGTATAACTATAAATAACATTAAATAAAAGAAGATTAAAAATATTCCAATATTTATATAATATAAATATTAGTATAATATTAAATATTGATTAATTTTATATTTATTATAAAATATTATATATTTATATCTTAATAGCAAATACATAAAATACATAATATTAAATTTCTATTAAAATTTAGATAAAATATCTATTTTCTATTATTATTCCTAAAGCTTTTAGAAACTTTATAACTTAAACAACCTTTGCTATATTGTGGTTTAGAAGATTTAGTACTATTGAGAAAATAAATATTAGAATTATCTTTAATTATTTCTAAATTATAAAAATAATAAACATAATAAATTAATTAAAAATATTGTTAATTTATATTATTTTATATTTTAAAAAATTCAATATTTCTATTTAGAATATTAAAAATATAAGTTTTAAATTGGAACTATAGGGAATTAGGCCTTATAGCTTAATGATAAAGCTGCTAATCTCTCACAGATAAGGTCAATAGTTCAAGTTAGGCTAAAGGCAAAATCTTAGGATTTTAATTCTGTAACCTATATGGAGCCAAAATTGAATGCAGAGCCCTATAGAAAGTCTCAAGATGAAGTATAAGGATGAATTAGGAATTTTCAGAAGGAGACTGACTTTGCAGAGTAAAGGCACTATGTGTAACAGTGATGTCACAGAAGGTTTGGTTACAATAATATTGTTTATATAAGTCCCCAGAAGACAGGCCAACATCAACATCTCTGTATCCAACTTACAGAATACTTGATTGGAAGGATAATACCATGTAACTAAAACTGGAGTAGTGAGTGATGCAGTGCATGCAAAGAAGATCTGTAACAAAGGATTTAACCAAAATTGAAACATCTTAGACAGGTAATTCTAAAAGTAACTTGAAGAGTATTTCCTAAGCAGTCGTACATTACAACTTAGATAATAAGCACCATACTCGTATATAATAAGTTAAGATTCCAGGCCTCCTTGCAACACTAAGCTGGTAATACATTGGTACATAGTTAATGGTACACCTACAAAAAAGCCTGTAGGAAGTATATGTGATCAAGCAACAGACTAAACCAACTATGAAAGTATATTCAAAAAGGGTATGTAGTTAACTGCAAATTGATAATTCAGATTTCGATAAATTCAGCTGTGTCACTAGTGTACTAGAAAATAAATTAGACTGTATAAACCAAACTGGTAGCAAGAAGAGCAAGAAACTGCCTAAGTCAACCAATTTGGGAGAAAGATGAGTTAATGCAGATAGTAGACAGGAAGACTATCAAGTAAGAAAAGTAAAGAAAATTAAGAGTATAATAAGATGATCTACAACCTTTTTGGTAGTTTAGTAACTATGTTTGAAATATATAGTGAAGGTTACAAAAATTAAAGTATATAGGAAATTGTAGATATAATGTCACATTAGGTATCTAGAAGCAAAATAGATTCTAATAGCACAAATGTAATGTAACTATATGTAATAGTAATGCAAAAACTAAATAAAATATAAGTTACAATTTGGCATTATAAAAAAAAAAAAAAAGAATTGGAACTATAATAGTAAGTTATAAAAATTAACAAATATATTACCAGATTTATGATTAATAGCAGATTTATTTTTGTTTATTATTCTAATAGCATTATTATTATTATTGTTATTAATTATTATTTTAAGATCTTTAAAATTATATAAATAAAACATTATAAAAATTTTAGTATTAGAAACATTAAAATTGTACTTATACTTGTTAACAAACCTTAGACAAATACCAAACTCAAAAAAAAAATTGCTTTTTATAAATAAAAATTATTTATAAAGATTTTTAAAATATTAGTTTGAGTCAAAGTTTAAAACTAAGTATGAACAAATTAAAAATATAGTAGTTTGAAATTTAGACAACAAGTATAATTGTATCAGAAGTAATATTATATTTAATAAAACATTACTAGATGTTGTAATAAAAATACTACTAGACATTTTAGTAGAGAAATTGCTAAGATTTGTATTAAAGACATTTTTACTAAAATTTCTATTAAGAGCATATTCAGGATTTGTGTTAGAAGCAAAACTAAATCTTGGATTAGAAACAATATTGATATTTGTATTAGAATTATAATTAATATTTGTATTAAGATTATAACTAGTATTTGTATCAGAATTATAACTAAGATTTGTATTAGGAGTTTCATTAGGATTTGTATTAGAAAGTATACCAGATTTTGTATTAGGAGTAATACCAGAGTTTGTATTAAAAAGAATATCAAGAAAAGAACTACCAAAACCAGAACCAGAACAAGAATTATTAGCATTAAAAGGATTATTAAGAGGATTATAGTAGTGTAAAATATACTAACTGAAAGTCTTAATTGATAGTATATAATTATTTGTGACTTCATCACTTTTTTACTGATTTATTTTTGGCTTATTTTAATTTTGTATTATAGAAATATTTTTGCATAGCAACAAAATTTGGTTTAACTAACAAATATATAAGTATATAAGTACTGATATTTAAATTTATATAAATTATCTATTGTGATAATTACTTTTTTGATCTTTATTTCTTTCTCACAATCTTTATAATATAATTGTGCTAAACTAGTTTAAGATCTTGTCAAACTTCTTATTTCTTTTCTTCTTTAGTTAGTTCAGCATCTGTTTTGAATATCTTATCATTATAGTATTTATTTTTGCCTATTATTTTTTTTAAATTATTCAAAGCCTGGCTCTTTGATATATTAATAAGAAAAAGACTTTTGAGATGCCTACTATTTGTTTTTTGCAAATAAATAAAACCTTTTTTTTATTGATTAATTTTTTAAAAAATATATTTAAAATCATTTTGATATTTATATATACAAAATTTTGATATTAAACCTTTTTTTTACAGAAGGGTGTGGTGACCTAGTAAAGTGAATAGGTTGTCAACCCTCAAGTGGCAGGTTTAAGGTTCAATTCCCACAGATGATGAAATTTGGAAATTATACCTGTGTTATAGTAACTGTTTCTTGCCAATCAGTTGAGTTTTGGGCATCTGTAATCTTAGGTACATCAAGTCGGGCCCCACCTGACATTGGGAGCTCAGGGCATCTATACTAAGTGTAACATTACATGGTATATGTATATAGAGGAATGTAAAACCGGTGTCATATAAGGCTTCGGGCAAACCCACGATAAGACCACCGGGCATAGAAGGCTAAAAAACTGAAGAAACAGAAACTCACTTAAAAATCCTGAGTAAAGAGATAGCACAAACTTTCGATAGTGCCATTGGACTGACGGAAGCCCATGAAACACCTTCATAGGAACTGTTAGATAAATGGATGACAAAGATGTGTAGAGAAGCACATGACCAACTAGGCTGCCGGAATTACCGAAGGAAAAAGGATACATAAGTATACTATACCGGGCCATCTGGATTGGGAGTCTGGGGAAGTTCGTTGTTAGTTTTGAGTTGCGGCTAGTTGGGGATAATGGAGAAGAAGTCGGAAAGATGAGTACCAGAGTTTGGGTGAACTTTACAAGGGTAATAGCAGTTTAAGGGGTAACCCTGACTGCAAGTGTTGGCCCTGGTCATAGCGTCAAACCAGGTTAGTGGTAAAAGGGAATATGGCTTGCTCTGATAGGTTTACCTCGAGGATAAAAATAGTCTAAGGATTATAGTCCTATAGTCGAATGCGAATAGATCCGGGTCTGTGATCTGGTGAAATTAATACTAGGGTTAGATCAGAGGGTTTAAATGGAACATCAAAGCAGGGGGTGTTAGGTATGGCAACTGGTGGGGAACTCTCGGGCAGACTCCTTAAATAGGTAATATAGAAAAGTTACACATATAGCCAGTTGTATACTCGTCTAATAGTTCATTATAGATACGTCTATATAAAATATGTATCTGCTATAAGTATTAATAAAAAGCTCAGACCAAAGAGGTCACCTTAATACCAAAAAAAAAAAATAATAATAAACTTTTTTTACAGCAGTCATTCTTTGATTTTCAAGATTTTTTACATAATTTTGCTTATCTTTTTCTGAGACTTACTGTTTCTGATACTTCTTTTTTTGGTACTAATGATGTTTTTTAATAATTTTCAAGATCTAGTAATCATCTATTTGGTATCTTTCTATGTCTCATTTAATAATTTTAAACAAATTTTGAAGAAATTCTTTTTTGAATTCTGACTAAACTTTAGCTAAATTAGGTTTTCTGGATTCTTTCAATCTAGCAATTAAAATCATAATGTTATTCTATTATTGACATTAAGAGTTGTATATATTTTTGATCATAACTTTTGATGTACTAAACCAATTTGGATAAAGCAACTACCAATAGATTTAGCTTACTGAGATAATTCTAACAAGCACAAGATTATGTAATTCTGATTACAAAATCATGAGATTAGGATGATTTTGATGAAAGCACTAATTCTAGTACATGTGACTTAATTCTGATTGGCTCATATTACTGTACTAGAAATCTAATATATCTAATATATCAAATATATCTAACATATCTAACATATCTAACAGATATTACATATCTATTATATTTATCATTTCTATTATATCTACTATATCTATTATATATATATTATATCTATTATATTTATTAGTTTTTATTACTATAAATAGCATTTATTAGCAATAGAGTAGTCTTTATTGTAATAATTTATAAATATAAAATATCTATAAAAGCACTACTTTTTGATCTTTCAAGAAAGTTAAGTGTCTTTATACATTTCATAATTATAAACTAAATACAATATTTAGTATCTTCATATATTATTTATTGTTGTCTCTGTCTTAAAATCTCAAATCAATCTGTATTTTATTAAGTTTTATATAAACTTTTGTATAGAACCTGTCAAGTTATAGTCATCATACTATAGTTGAATAACTTCTATTATTACTATAGTTAAAAAAAAAACCACTGATTAACATTTTGGTGATGATTATAAGATAAGTTTTCAATTTATTATAGATAATTAATTTTAGTTAGTCATAAGGAAACACTATCAAAATTGGTCCATTTGATCTTAAATTTGAAGAGTTTATACTTAAAAACCTACTGCATCTTTTCTACTAAATATATATTAGTGTGAAAATTTCTTTGGAACTTACTATTCAATATCAAAATAGTGATAATATTTTTGATCTACAAAGAATTTACAAGAAACCCTTCTTGGAGAAGTATTCTGATTATCATTATACCAACTTCAAATATTAATATCTTAACAACTACTAGACTGATTTTAGCATTTTGATCTTCTTTAGAACTGGAAAGACTCACTTTACAATTTTCTCTTAAGTAATAAAACCTATTGTTATAGTAAATTTAAGGAATATTTACCAATTTCTAAAAAATTAGAATTTAGAAATGAAAGCATAAGTGTTTGCATTGTAATAAATAGCTTCTAAAATGATAGTATATACAATTTAATTTTGAAAGATAGTTATTAAAAGTATTCTTATATATCAAAGAATATATCACTCAGTTACTTATCACTAAATTAGATGATTCTTATGAAATTTGTTATTCTATAATCTCAAATATATTTTCTGATTTGCAAAACTTTTATTTTTGGTATACTAAACAATACTTTACTTGTAACTTCTCTGATAAAGTATAAAATATTTCAACTAAATTAAACAAATTTATATCCAATATAATCTATCTTAATTAAAGAACACTATCTTTAAACTTATTTTTAGTTTTAGATATTCTAGTTCTTCTGGATACATTGTTGATATTATTAGAAATATAACATCTTTAGCTGTCTATACAAACTGTTATCAAAAAAACCTCTTTATCTTAATAGAAAAAAATTTTATATCTCCTTATTATCTTGATTTTGAAGACTATAATGACTCTTTTGAAATACTTTTTAATCACCAACAACACATACCTATTCCTTTATCAAACCAACAAATTCAAAATATTATAGCTAATGCAGCTGATGTTCTTAACTACTTAAAAGAAAATGAAAAAGATAGAAATGTTGTTTGTATTGAACCTTTCTATGAAGATGAAACCCAGGATTCTTTAGTCTAGATTGCTGAC